ATTGCCACCCTGTGCATGTGTCTAATATGCTAAACATCAAGCATGATTTAGTGGTGGATGAGTCGACCAGGCTTAGCCGATCTATCCATGATTTATGGGCAACACTCTGGCTAAATGAAAGAGCTAATCTTCTGAAAATAAGATGTTTAACTTTTTTCGGTATTATCTATTTTCAGAACTTGCAGTTAGATTGATGATTCTACTCAAATTACTTTGATCCGCTCTGGTCACACTTTCCGATCTCTCTTGAGGGAAAACCAAGAACACTTAAAGAAAACACATATTGAACTTATCCTGATACAATACTTAGTTTCACCATATTCATTACTGAATATATTTCAATTTTTTTGAAAATTACATACCCACGGAAAAGCTTTTTAAAATATTGTAAGTGGCCTTTTACTGGCAATTGAAAATGGTTTTCAATTAAGTTAAAACCACTAACTGTAAATACCCATTCAGCTGGCTTTAAAATTCACTTACAAGTATTTTGGAAGCCACAATCTCATGAAAGTGCTCCACCTCCAACTTGTCACGTCTAAGGTGGCGTCGCTTGTTATTCGACCATTTCCACACAGGCACAACAGCGATTTAAAAATTGCTTAAACGCGCACATAAGTATGCTTTAGAAAGAAGAATACAATACCCACGCATCCACACACAACAACTAACAGCAAGAACAAGCAGCCAAAACACAATCAGCTCAGCCCCTCCCCCTACTCGCCCTCCAATCCCGTCCACCTGCCACTCCGATTTGCCCCAACTTCCATTGTTAGCAGCTGCTGCACATTAGAAATTCAACTTCGCCTCGTCTTCTTTTAGGCGCTGAGCAACAATGGCGTGTGAATTAAAATAGAAAGCCGGGCCAGAACAACCGACGCTCTCTTGGTCGTCAGCTTGACGCGCCAAGGTGCGATACGAGTGTGTGTGTGTGTGTGGGCGTCGCTCAAGCGTTAAGAAGAAGAAAGTCCCATTCCACCATACTGCTACCCCCATCTACCATATACAAGAGCAGCCGCAATGCTCTGCCCCACGTTGGGCGCCATTTTTGTACGGCACAGCAATGCCCCACGTTGGGCGCCATTTTTGTCAAGTCGCATTAAGGCAGCGCGCTCTTATTCGACTTGCTCGTTCTGCCCGTCGACTGCTGACGAAAATTGAACGGCCAGCAGAACGAAAATTGTTGTATAAATAAAAGCATAATTGATGCGAGACACACACAGCACACACACACATCGAGGCTGGGGAGGAAAACAAAAAGCGAGAAGAACAACAAGCAGTCGCACAACATTCGACGATGGCACTGGCATGTGGCATATGTTGCGTCAATCCAGCCATGAGCAGAGCAAACAAAACGACCAAGGAGCCAGGCGGCGAAAGTAGGAGAAGAAAAAATCGAGCTGCGCGCAAAAATGTTTCTTCTTTTGCATATTTTACGGCGCCCGTTCTGCGAAATGACTGTGAAAACAGGTTTGATGGGTTGGAAGGGAGGTGGCATATCATTTTTTGGGACAGCGCGGACTCTCCTCGTATTTATCTGGCACTCCGCTATGTGCGTTGTCAGCTTGCAGATTTCTTATTTCTTTCAATCTTTCTTTTTTTTTTTTTTTTTACTTTTTGTTTGCTTCAGCTTCACATGGCGAGAAATTAATTTGAAATTTAAATGCGCACCAAGCAAACGGGGAAGAATGTCTTTGATGATGATGGTGACTGCGTTCGCCGGCTGGGAACATGTGTTTCTGTTTGGCAAGAAGGTGTGACAAGGTTCTCTCTCCCACCCAAACCATATTGGCCACTATTTGTGGCTGCACCCAGCTGAACAAATAAAAATAGAAATGCTAATTGACTAATTTATTCGGAATTCCGACGCTGTCAAAGGTGCGGGACTGCTGTGTGTCCTCATTTCCAGTAACTCTGCCAGTAACTTGAGGAATTTATTTACGGGCGTTGCTTTCATTTCCATTCCCAATTCTTTTCACCGAGGGTGACAGTTTTTATTTTAAATTCTATTTTCGTTTTATATCATTTTTTTCTCCCTGCTGGCTATGCATGTTGCGCGGCTTTTGCGCTTCGTCAATCAAAAGCATTTAGAGGAAAAGGCAGCTTTAATGCATGCGCGCGCTTTCATTAACAAGTGTTCGGGCCACGCCCACTTCTAAGCCGCGCCCACTTCATGGACAGCAAAAAATCGCATCAGCGGCTTATGCAAATGGCGGTGTGCGTGTGTGTGGGTGTTGAGTGAATACGAAATTATTGTTTACAACTGTAAACTGTAAACTTTTTTCGCTCTGTCTCCCCCGCACACACAGTGTGTTGTATTTTTGTATCTACTTCTATTTTTTTTTTTTTTTGCATTTAGAAAACGTTTGCCAACCGCACTAAAAGCGACTTATAACATGTTGAGTGCCAAGAGATTAACAAGGGACTGAACGTGTGAGGGCTGAGGAGGTGTTTTCCATTCTGACCATCCATTTTCGCCCTGCAAATTCCTTTTTAATGAGCGCTTGGTCCATTCCATTCCTGGACCGGGGGCGTTCATAAGCTGCTTAAGGTTTGGCGTAATCAAAAAATGTTCTTCCCCTGCATCTCGTTTTTTAAAAGCTTTCTGTGGTAAGAGAACAGCACGGAGCAGTACAGAACAGAACATCAACATGAAAGCCAAAGAGGATGCCGGGGTGTTGGAAGTGGACTTTGTTAAGCTTAAAATTAACTTGCGGTTTTGTCTGGCGCAACTTTGACGCCTGCAGGTAGGCAATCAATTCGGGCCCTCAAACCACCCCATTCCCCCCAAATACTCTATACCCACTGCACTTGGCCATATAATTAATGTATATATGTACCTATGCTACGCAGAGGAAAAAGTGTGGAATTCTTTTGCGTGGCAGCTAAAAATTTTTATACAACACAGCAGCTGGCGTCGTTTTGCGCTAATTACCTCCTTCCAAAACCCCTTCCAAGAACCCCTTCCAAGCCCCTTCCAAGTCCCTTCCGCACCGCAGTCGTAATGCCAAATTGCAATTACAGCCGCGCAGAGGGTTAGTGGGTGGAACCGAGGGCAAAACTGACATTAAAATGCTTAATGCAGGCAGGTATAAAAAAGGGAGGGTACAAAAAAAAGAAATTACTTGCTCTTAAAATTAAAAAAGCAAGTAGAAAAATGTACAACTTGCTTTGCAGCCGTCTTTTTTTCTCTTTTCCTCCTCCACAGCAGCAATTTGCCAGCGTCGTCTTTTGGGGAGGTCCTGCTCATCTTAAAAATTGGCCAGGTGAAAAATTGCAGCTGTGTGTTGTGTTAGTCCAGGGGGCGTGGCAGGTCAAGGGGCACAGGACATTCCAAGCGTGTAACGCCCTGGGCAAAAGGTGCAGGAATGTGTGTGAGGCACATTCCTGGGTAATTGGAGGTAAAGTGCAGTTGGCTGTAGGCCTCCAGCGAATATTTCCCCTCCTGTTCTCCCCCTAAAAATGTCATTCAGGTGGAAAGGAGAAAGTGCGAAGGGTAGACAAAAATTATGGTAATGCTCGGGTAGATAGCAATTTACACAGATTTCATCTTAGCCTGCCTTTTCGATCGAATTTTGCCGGGGGCCATACTTTGATTTGTTGTGTGTCAACTGCAATCAGCTATAAAATGTGACGGTTTGTGCTTTGAAATTGAAATTGACTTAAGGAGTTCTCTGTTTGTTCTGGAACCATCTTTACATATATTTGTTTGCCTCACTTGCGGCTATATTTTTGAAGTTTTTGAAGTCCGTTTTGGGTGAGTGTGTAAGTTTTGGCCAACGGCAAGTGTCATTGGGTTTACCTACCCACCCACAAACCAAACTAAAGACTGTAATTGCGTGGCAGCCGTTCATCCTTCGTCATCATCATCATCATCAACTTCCGCCTAAGTAAACACATGATTTCTGTGGAAGCGCCGCGGCGTTTGTTTAAAAACGCATCTAAATTGCAAATTAAGCAACAAATTTCATCAACAATATTTGAATTTGAATTTAAATGCGCCAACGAGTTGTCGACTTGAGTGAGCCGAGCAACCCGCAAACACACAAAACCCAAAATGTAAAATTCGTTTGCTGAAAGAGTGAAGAGCGAAAAGGGACGAGGACTTGGCCAGGGATAAAACTGGGACTGGGTTGGGATTGGCACTGGGACTTGGAGGAGACTTGGGATTGCACTGACTGCCTGCCTGGCTGTAAACACCGAAAATACAACAATGGCAGCGTTTCAGCCACTACCACTGCCATTCCCCCAGCAGCTGGTTTGTGTATTTGCTTGTTTGTTTGTCAAAAGAAGCAATTTACGTGCAAAATAACTCAAGTGTCATGCAAATTTCATTTATTTTTCGCAAGCAGCAAAGCAAGAAAAAAAAAGGAGAAATAATTCCCGGGCTACGTTGTCATAGAGCTAACGGCTCTTCTATAAGGCTTCGGTTATATAGCGCCGCAATCTCGGCTATATATGGTGATTCCTTACAAAATTCGAGCATAATGAAGTCACTTGGCGGGAAACCCTGCTTCGTTCTCCTCGGCTTTCTCTTCTCCTATGCCCAAAGCTATTTTTATTTACTTTCTCTTTGTGTTTTCCTTTTTTTTTTTTTTTAGAAAATTAGAGTAGAACGAGCTTCTTGATTTGCCATTGAAGTGCGGCGTAAAAGGAAAAAACATAATAATAATACGACATTTAATTTAATTCTAATTTTATTTATAAATCATGGAAACCCGGGGCGGGCGGGCACTTGTAGCTTAAATGAAGTTGGCTAAGTACTTTTCAACGATGAGAATCGACAACAACACCAAACGTCGAGTACAACAACTTGAGTATGCATACTTCAGGTTTGAAATTTCATTATTTTCGTATTATTCGCACAGAAGGGCCATCAAGAAACGATGCCTGGGCCAAGAGAAAAACACAATTTTCTAATTTCACCAGGGTGCTGGAAGCCCATTTCGAATAAACCATCAAAGTCGTTTATATAAATAAATTGGTATCCCCCTACTCACCGGCATAGTTTGACTTCCGTGTAGGTTGGTTATTGCTGACTGGGCCTCCTGCTGCGAACCAAATTTGACGAAAGCGCAGCCTGCAAATGAAATATAAGGCATGATTAGTGACTAGTGTTTCAATGGTTATCAAGGGAATTTATTTTTGCATATGACTTATTTCTTCAGTGTGGCTGCCACTTCAATCAGTGGCACTTGTGAAAATTCGTACAATACTGAATATTGAATTTAAAAATCAGTAAACATTCCATAAATACCGACTCGAAAGCCTCGGTGAAGAGTTCAGATGTGTGGCTACAGCTGCGTTGCCTCGACATGTGTGTGCGGGGCATTTAAATAAAATTTTAAGTGCAATTAAAAAACATTTTTGCAAGAATCGCTTCGTGCACTCTTGCATGAAAATCAACATCGACATCGGTGGGCGGCATCAGGGATTCGGAATCAGCGCCCATCAACGCCCATTATATAAAAATAATAGTCGGCCTGCGCTGCCCGTTACTGGATGGAATGTAAAATTCAAACTGAACCGAAAAATATACAGGAAAAAAAAGAGAGGGAATTTCCGCTGCACTTGCTCGCTCATTATATTGTAATTTGTGGGTGCCAGCTGTTGGTGGGTGCGGGGAATTCGAGGTGAAGGGCGCCCTGCTTCAATGGCATAATTATTAAAAATCATTTATGCTAATTTAATATACAGTAATAACCACAAAAAGTAAGGACCTTCCAGGGCCAAAAGCGGCAGCAGGGGCCTCGCCAAAGAGCGTAGTGTGGCGGGAATAAACGGGGCTTATACCACATGTAAGCCGGTGCTTGAAAACGATTTAAAAATGCGGTAATGCTCGATGGCTTCGAGCATTGTTTTACATTTGTAAATTGAGAACAAATTAAGAGAGTTCGTATTCTGTATAGTTCTATATAGATGCCGGCATTGGTTCACTGACATGTTATTTAAAATACATATATTTAATGCTTAAATGCTAGGAATTTGCTTTAAAAAATAAAATATTTAGTCGACCTTTTACGATATAAGTTCAGTTAAATGCCATTTTTCTTAAATAGACCCTTGATAAAAAAGTTAGTTTATGAGGAACCCAAACTTTATTCATTCAGTTAAAGAATTTGTGAATGAAAACGAGAGTTCTTTAGATCCATACGGTAACGCGAATTCTTTAGTTTTATGGACTAAAACGAATTCTTTAGAGTCTTTAGTGTTTGACGGACATATTATTTCTAAACCTCGTATACTTAAACTGAAACTTTCTTTCCCCAATACAACAGTTTCTATGTTCGCATTCTCTCCACCTTTTAACCCCGCCGCCAAGGAATTAATTAAGGCCTAGCTTAACCCTTGCTCTACGGCTCTTCATCTGTTGTTTCTGTGCTTTACGCAAAACATCAACAATGCTGAAAATTAAGACCCTCCAGCTGGGAAAGCCCTGGGGGTGGGGGTTCCCCGGTCTGAAAACCCTGCCAAATGTCTAATTCCCGAACCCGAACCAGAAAGAACCCTCAGTCCGTCGAGGGTTCGGACAGGATGGGTGTCCAAATTGCGGCTTGGGCTGTTGCTGTTGCTGTTGCTATTCCCGCTGTTGTTGTTGCCTTTGTAGTTGACGCTATTCCAAAGGGGCGGGTAAAAAGGGGGTGCGGCAAAACAAATCCCGCCTAAAACCATGCAACATGCGAGCTGACAAGCCGAAAGGCAGACAAGCACAAATTTCGCGTGCAAACAGCGCGAAGAGCAACAGCGAAAAAAATAAAAAAAATGAAACGGGTGGCTGTAAGGGAAAATTCCTCTTTTTATTCGCCTTGTTGCAAATGTACAAAAAATAAAGTGTAAAAAATTCAAGTGGATTTTTGTTCGGCCCGACTCGACGCGACTCTTGTGTATTTTATGTTTTGTGTGTTGAAGTGACAACAAAATCCAGAATTTTCCCTGTCCCAGGGTTTGGGTTTTTTGGGGGCGACTGAATCCGAGGGACACAAGAGTGCAAATCAGAGCTGCTAAGCAATAAAAAATAAAATATTTTGTTGCCAGTTAATCCACACAGCTGAAAAATGAAAGAGAACAACGAACTGAAAAAAATGAATACAAAACAAAAAGTTAAAAAAGCAAGGCAATTGCTAAGCATTTTGGTAAACTTAAATCAAAGTTGATTTTCCTTTTCCAATTTTTGTTGCTGTTGTGTCCTTTTTGTTTCTTTTGTGTTTGTTTTTGTTTTTTCTGTATATATTTTGATGAAGGCTTTTTCCGCTTTATGTGAAATGTATTTTTCTTGGCATAACTTCTGTGTAAAGAGGAAACTTTACTTTTTGGGGGCTGGCAAGCTTAAAATGTTCGAACACCTCGAACAAGAGAGCCCCAACAAGATATCAGAAAAAGCTTTATAAATGTTCACATTGTTCAGATCACTTAGCTGTTCGCAAGTGCGTAAGTTCTATATCTCATTTCGTATTTATGGAAAAGTTTCCTTTAACCCCCCTCTAAAGTTGGACATTCATTAGCATCTTAAACAAACAGTGTGGATTCTTTGCCAGCCGGCTAATTGTATGTCTTTGAGTGAAGTTCGACTAAGTTGACTTTCTTGGGAACCATTTGATTATTTACCCTTTCCAGGCGGTCGCTCAACATCACGGATAATTGTCAAACTTGGAGTCATTATATTAATTAAAAGCAAATTAGTCAGCGAAAGAGGTGACTCAGACGGTTGGCTCAGATGGCCAAGTCCAAATCCGACCTCATCAGCGTCGCTTTGATGTCGGGAGCAGGAAAATTGAATCTACATACAAATCAAGTCGGCGGACAACACTTTTAACAATTAGTGCAGAAGGACAGGTTGCAGGACAATCTCTGAAAAGCTAACAAAGTGCAACGCCTTAATTACTTAACGGCCAGGAGAGGCGAAACGATGATGATGATGATTCCCTGATTCTCGGCAATTAGTTGAAATTAAAATGTGAGCAAGTGCGCCAAGTTTTTAGCGTCTTCTGCAACTTCCGGTGAAGCGTGAAATGATGCAGCCAGCTGCTCCTGGTGGAGAGAATAGCTGAGGATCTGAGGAGCTAAGGAGCCGAGCCTAATGACACTTTTTAATCAAATATGCTAATGCTAATGCAAAAGTTGAGCTGTCATTAAAATTATAGTGAGGCAAAGTTGTAGTCCGTCTGTCTTCGTTATGGCAAGTCTCTTCAGGCTTCTTCGAGCATAAGTTTATATTAATCACCAGCTTGCTGATTGTATCGCTTTATCTGGATTCTGAGTGCACAGAAACAAATACACCTAAGTATTAATTTGATTAAGCAAGGTAAATTTATTTATTTTAGCATTGAATAATTTCATCTTGATATTGAGAAGGGTTTTGTCTTAAATTTCCTCTCTTTGGTAATTCTCTCACTTCTAAAAAGAGAGAAAAAAGCGAGGGGACGCCTAAAACTATACTGGGTGGGAGCGAGACAGCCATGCTTGAAACTCTCGTAAGTAGAAAAAGAGAGCAAACAAGATTGAGAATTGTATCATCTTATAATCAAATTCATCATCTTATCTCATCAATTTGTTTCCCTGTATGCAATCCAACAAAATCTTAAGCCATACCTTTCCATCCATGTTTGTCAGGCCACATTTTGACCCTAATGGGTCAATTTTTGACCGGCCAAAAAAAAGGATATGCTGCGACAATTGAGTTGCACGAGATTTCGGGGCAACACATGCGATTAAATTTATGGGTGGAATCTGAGGGGGCCGTATTCATGCTTGGCCACAACTTGCACATTTGCAATACAAATTTGCAATGCCATTAATGTATGGGAAACCCGAAAAACTCCCTTACTTGCCCCTCACAAAAAAAATGCCTTGCCATGAAAAATCGCCGCTGGTCAAACACGTAACCAAATTGTGCAGAGCGGCAGCAGGAGCAGGAGATGGAGGAGCTCCATGTGAAGCAGTAGCCAGGAGCAATGGCAGCAGGACATTGGGACAGCAGCTACAGCAGGAAACAAGGATAACGAGCGTGTTGAGGCCCCCATCCCCTTTCCTCAAATGGGGTTTTGGTCGATATGTTGGCCTTGCCGGTCGCCGCCTGGAGGGGCAGGCTCATGTTCTGGCCAGGCCAGCAATGCTGGCCAGCCAGGATCTGCCCCCTCTCATCTGCCGGTGATGCCTGATGTTGCCTGCCGCTTCCAGTGGCACTGCTGCATGGGACAAGTATTTTAAAATCCAATTAAAAACGCCCTAGTGGGATTTTTCAATCGCTGCCGACCAGGATGAGAGGACTGCCAAGGCAGCTGGACGGCAGGAGGAGCAACAAAGTTGCATTAAGCGCGCGACATTCGCTGGCCACCGGTCGCGTCATAGTCATTTGTTGGCAGGATAGTAGGATGGGGGGCGGCAGGATGCGGGGATGCCAGGATACCAGGATGGCAATGAGGTGGAGGTCCCTGGTTTCTGGTCCCTGGTCCTCTGATGGCCATTGCATGTTTGCCTCTTGGGCGCAAAAGCGTAGCATGTATCTTGTTAGCCAACGTTTACGCTTATTATGCGATGGCAAGGCTATCGAATTTGTTTGATGCATGTGCAGAGAGGCAGGTAGAGTTCGGCCATATATGGAATAGAAATGGCTATGGCTATATGTCCATCTCCCCATGGCAAAGCAAATTGCATTTGCGGCATGACACTCGCAGTTGAATGCATCTCGGGAGATGTAGATATATACAGATGGCAGAAGAAATCAAATAAACTCATCCGAATGCAACATATGATGTCCGGGGCAGGTAGCTAATGTCGTTTTGAAAACTAGATGGGTGTGTGTGGGTTTTGCCAAAACTTTGACCAGCATGTCTAATCAAATCTGTCGCTGGCAGAACTTATCAATATGGCCAACTACGAACTGCAAAACACAAACATTTGTTTCCCCCTCCCCCCAGAACGGCTGAAATTGAACTCTGCAACCAGGCGAGAGGCCCCAGCACTTTGCATACAAATCATATAGACTTTTTGGAGTGGATCCCAGGACACACACTCGGCCGACACGTAGTTGGAATGCCCGATGGGACCATTATTCTTGATTTTGAACCGAAAAAAGGCCAC